CCGCTCACCTTGCTATTTAGGGTCTTTTTCTGAAACTCTAATGGTTAAAGAAGGGAGATACTGCTTTTTTTCCTATTTCAAAATTACTAATGGGTGACAATATACTAACTGTCACCCTGTATGACACACTTATATGGATTTCGAAGTCTTAGTAAAGATAGCTTTTAATAAGTTATCTAGTCTTTTGTAACGTTATGGGTTATTCCAGCGGGAACAACAAGGCTTTTGCTCTGAAGAGCCTAGTTTGATGAAATTAATCTTGACCAGAAAAGAACGGGAGGATATCTAGAATCTATAAATTTCCTTCTGACGTGATGGTTGTTGACTCCACCAAGACACTGGTGCTTAGTTCATTCTGGCTTACTGGAGATCATGTGTTCTGGCATGGACTTCGGGATGCAGTTACTACTAGCGCAGTACGAGATAGTAAGCCGCAGTGAACACAGACCTGTCCAAATATAATTTTATTGGGACACTATGCTAGGATCTCTCTTACTTCTGTTCTGCGGTACCAAAGGACGAAGGATTAATAGGCCCCCATCTTCGCAGTTTGTAGATGACGTTGCGGTTTAGACAACTTTTTCGTACCGAAAATGTCGTAGTGCTTCCGCCAGAGTTATGTGGACTGCTCGCAAGGCCCAAACCCTTAAGTTTTAAAGTCAATTTCAACTACAGTGCGATGATGTACACCGAAAAACAAGGATTCTCATCATCCACTGGGTGGATCCACGCTGTCTCGTGTCGGATAATGAAACGACTTAGGCCACAGCCCACTATCAATCGAATACAACAACATGCTGTCACCAAGTTGTAGTTGAAGCATTTCGTGCACTCTTGTCACTTTAAGAGTTTAGAGGCTAATGTGTTTTAATTGCTTCATCCCACCTGCCCAATACAGCCCCGCCTGGTTAACTAGTTCGCTAGTCACCAGCCGGTCCTAGGCCCGGATAATGAGAGAAGATAGGGCGTAGGGCTAGCAACCCTAACCCGTAAAACCAATCCAACCGCCGAAGAAACTGCAAAGCACAAACAAAACATAAAAACAAACTTATTCCTAGCTGGAATCGGAGAGGTGAAGGAAAGCCGGTTGATGTAAGCCTTCGGGGAGCCAATTGGTCGATTTATCTTCTCTCGATGAAAGCGTAAGTAAACATGGGAATATGGAATGTCCGCACTATGTTTAAACCTAGCAAGGCCGCCTAGATTGAAAAGGAGATAAGAAGATATGGTATTGAAGTGCTAGGAATCTGCGAAAGCAGGTGGAATGGAAGTGGACTGTCCAAAATGTCAACTGGAAAGGAGTCAGTAATCTACTCCGGTCACCCAAATGACAACCACGAGCCCAGGACACTGAGTTTTGGAGGGACCATCGTGGTATCTCCAAGAACGCCGGACGCTCTCATACAGTGGGGACCAGTCTTCCCCTCCAGGATAATGACAGCAAGATTCTACTCAAAAGGAAGGAGAGTCACGATCGTACAATGCCAATGCTACTCCACGCACCTACAAACAATGCAGATTAAGAGAAGAAGGAGGAATTCTACGGACAACTGCATTCAGTGCTAGACAGGACCTCAGCTGGTGACATCGAAATTCCAATGGGCGACATGAATGCCAAACCAGGAGCGGACAGCGCAGGAAAAGAACTAACCATGTGCCGAGAAGCGCTCGGTGAAATAAACAAGAATGGAGAACTGTTCGCAGAACTCTGCGCATTCAACTATTTGGTGATTGGAAGCACTGTGTTCAAGCACAAGGATATCCACAAAGCCACATGGATTTCACCAGATGGACACACCAAAAATTAGATCCACTTCATCTCAATCTCAAGAAAGTGGAGACACAGACTACTGGACACAAGATCAGGAAGAGAAGCAGATGTAGGTTAACACCACTTACTATCTAGTGCGAGGAACCTGCCCTCCAAATCAAGTTGAAAGCCTTCACAGAAGTTGGTGATAGACCACAGTTAGAGTACAACACCCGGGAACTGAAGGATAAAACTACAAAGGAAATCTACACGTCAGTCATCAAGGCAAATGGGAGATATCGAGCGACATCCATGAAAGGAACCTGCGTGGATCAGCACTGGAAGTCTTCGAAAGAGACGTGGAAAGAAACCTGCATAACCGTATTAGGAAGGAAGAAGGAAGAAAATAAGGAATGGATCTTGACGGACACATGGAAGCTGATAGAGGAGGGGAGGACGGTGAAGCAAAAGACAAACCAGAGCAAGGACGCACAACGAGAAGAGGAAATGAGTACAGTGTATAAAACACTATACTGGACAAAGAAGTGACGAAAAATGCGCGCAAAGACAAAAGACATGACACAACACATTGGCAAGTGAAGCAGAACAGGCTGCAGGTAGGAGAGACCTGATAACATTGTGTCAAATAACAGGGTGACTATCTGGGAGAGAGGGGATCAACACAGATGGAACCAACAAAAGATGATGGCGGGAATTTAATTACCAAAGAAGAGAAACAAAGGAAACGATGGGCTGGCCACTTCGAAAAGCTCTTGAATCGACCACCATCACCACCTGCACTTCATCCAGAGATATAACCCGCAGCCACAGAACTATAAGTGAACGCAGACCCTCCAGCGGAAGTTGAGGTCCTGGAGGCGACAAGGCTACTAAAATGTGGGAAAGCAGAAGGACCAGATGGAATCCCGCCAGAAGCATTGAGAATAGACGCAGGGGAAACAGCAGACATGCTTACACCATTGTAGCGGAAGGTTTGCAAGGAAGAAAAGGTACCTGCCCACTGATTAGAAGAAGGGCTATCTTGTCAAGCTCACAAAGAAGGGCAACCTAAGTCTTTGCAAGAACTGGCGCGGGATCATGCCCTTGTTCACACCAAGCAAAATATTAAGACGCATCATCCAGGAGAGACTAAAACATGCTCTGGATTCAAAATTACTACCGGAACGGGCTAGATTCAAGAAGCATAAACCATGTGCGGATCAAATCACTACGCGACGCGGCACATCATCATAGAACACGGTATAGAATGGCAGTCAGCTTTCTACCTCAACTTCATCGACTTTGAAAAGGCGTTCGACGGCGTCAACCGGTAAGTTATTTAACAGCTGTTTCAACACTACCGTTTTAGTACCACAAACCTTCATCAACCTCATTCACCAACCATATGAAAGCGCCACATGCCAAGTAATTCACAATGAAAAGCTCAGTGATGCCTTTGAAGCAAAGACAGGAGTAAGACAAGGCTGTCTACTATCACCTATGATATTCCTGGTTGTGGTCGACTGGATCATGCAGCAAACAGTGGGAAGCGAGAAGAGGGGGATACGCAGGACTGCGGAAAAGAACCTAGAAGATCTGGATTTCGCTGATGACTTGCGTCTAATGTCACACAAACTTGAAGATCTGCGAGCAACATCCAACAAGTTGATGGAGGAGACAGAGAGGACGGAACTTCAAGTGAATACAGAGAAGGCAGAGGTGATAAAGATACACAACCAACAACAGCAAACTCCAATCACCATCAACAGGAGAAACTTAAAGGAAATGGCCTCCACCTATCTAGGAAGCAATGTTTCAATTACAGGCAGCGGCACAGACGAGGATATCGAAGTCAGAATCGGAAAAGCAAGACAGGCGTTCATTAGCCTGAAACCAGTGTGGAGATCCTCTGCACTCGGCATGTGGAACAAGATCCGGATTTTCAACACCAACGTCAAGTCAGTGCTCTTGTATGGCTCAGAGACTTGGCGCGTCACGAAAGGTATTTCCAATAAACTACAGACATTCATCAATAACTGCTTACGCTCGCTACTGAAGATCAGATGGCCAGAAAGAATGAGCAACAAGGAACTCTGGGAAAGAACCAACCAAGAAGCCATCGCTCAACAAGTGTGCAGAAGGAAATGGTGTTGGGTTGGGCATACACTGAGAAGGCCGACTGAAGACATCACGCGCCAGGCCAGTTTCTCGAGTGGAACCCAAATGGGAAAGGATGAGTTGGACGTCTGAGGGCGACATGCGGGAGACAGAGGGCTTCCGCGCTGTCGTGAAGCCAGGTTCAAAAGATTTCGCAGAACAGAGTGCACTGGAGACGTACTACTGAAGCCCTTTGTTCCACTGGGAACCCAAGGGACACAATGACAAAATAATACCTGCCCAATACAGAGCCCTGAACAGTGCATGCTGAAAGTCACCACGAGCCTTAGGAAAGAAGCAGATACTGTAGAATGGGTCAAATAAGCAGACATTCAATCAGTCACAAATCTTTTCTACTTAAGTTCATTGGAAAGTGTGTCCCACTTTCCATTAGAGTTTTGTCGGAAAATGTGTGGGTTTATTTTAGTATTATTTACCCGGAATAATGACTTGGCCGTAGATTTCTCTGGTCTTTTGACCTCTCCTAGGAACACATAAGACATCATCAAGAAGAGGCTTAAAAGCTACTAGACCAACTATCTTCAATGCTGAAGACTCTATTTTGATTCAGATCCCTTCAAGAGTATTATGGGTAATATATTGTGCCGTATTACCCATAACCCCCTCCACCCAAACCAACTGCTCTTAGACTTTAGTCAGAAACTCCACTTAAGAGACCACGCTTTAAGATTACAGCATGAAAAAACACCTACGATGATCCACGCTAACTCGTTTTCAGTGTATGTTTACTATGGGACTCTCTTCCCAGAGAAGTCGTCTTCTGACGCCTTCAGCCAGAGATTAAAGGTTCATTTGGAGTCGCGTGCTAAAGATAGGCTGCAGTCAAGGAAACACTAGTCAGACTATAGGTAAAGACACAACCTATAGAGAACTGATTAATTAACTCTGTTCTTTTAGGTTTCGGAAAATTAAGGCAATAACCTGCCATTCCTAACAAGGAACTTATTAAATACGAACAGACATTGAACCCGAGGAATAATCTTCAGCTGTTTCTATAGCAGGAAGTTTGAAGCTGCCTAAGATTCAACTTTCACTACTAAGCTTTTTAAATTTTTGAAGGTCAGTACTTGGGATGGATTGCTGTAACGACGTTCAGCAGGCGGAAAATAAAGGTCGGACATTCTTGGAACTTTTAGATGCTCTCTGTAACCATGAAGCGACTGATTCCTTTGAACCGTCGGTCGGTGAGTGATTTACTGCTATTTAGGTCCACTGAGTCATATATACTTACAATTTCTCTTAATATCCCCCAAAGTGATAAGTTTCATCGTCTGGAATCAGGGTTATTCAACTTACCTGGGAGCTTAAGCACAGAAAATGCTATTGTGCTGAAGCATCGTGAGGTACGTAAATAGACTACAGGATGTCCCTGTCAGAGGACTTACCTGTGCGATAGCATTTCTAAAGAATGAATAGCTTCATCCTACCGTACCAAAGTATTTGGATCTTAAGACATTGCAAGTAGATACAAGAGTATATAACAGACTATCTATTCTGCTGTGCAAGGGTTTGTGATAGTTTCTGGCCACCGGAAACAAAATAGATGATGTAGGATCGGTTAATTCTTTGATAAACTCAGATACTGCAGTAACTGTGATCCATTAGTGTTGTTTTATATTTTTCTGGAATGGGTAATAATGAAGAGGATTTTAAAAGTGTAGATCCCCCCCCCTCCGCTTCGCAAAAGTCCAAAGAGTTACCGCTGTAGATAATTCAGACTAGGCGCATCTAAGGAGTAGGGTTTCCTCTACTGCATCTGTTTCCTTGTTCAAGGTGATTCTTTAAAACCCCATTCCTTCGTACTGTTTGGCTCTTCCTATCACTCACTTATCAAGCCAGAGGTTCTCTGTCGGAACCCAACTCCATCTGCTCTAGTCGGGACAACTGGGTAGTGCCACAAGCCGTCACTGTCATTGTGGTTTGTAGCATAATACATACACTTGTGTACGGATTTGAATTTCATTATTTGTCGTTTGGCTTAATACCTCACAATCATGTAGAAATCATTAGCCTATTGCTTGAAGACTTAAACTAGAACTCTCATCATCATTACTATGCTTTTTATGTGTTAGGTACCACATTTCACCATTATTTTGCAGTGGTATGTTGTCCGTTTCTTAAATAAGTATTTTTAATACTTAACTGGTCATCATTGTAATTATTTTGTTTCATTTTTCTGTGTATTTGTGAAATTATCCACTTTCATCAACTGGGACGGTTTGGACATGTATTTTATATGGTGGTGTACTATTTGACACTGAAATAATCGAAGTTACGTTCTCTTGGTTTAACCTGTAAGCGAAGCTCTTAATTTAATACATTCAACTAATTTGGAGTCCTATGAGACTGGTCTAGATTATTAATTATCTCATTTTATAAGAAAGGAGTTTTCGTGTGACTGGCAGGGATCACTTAGACTAGCATCGTATTTAAGATCCTAAATTCCAACAACTGAGAAGGACCAAAAAAGAACAAACAAGCAGAAATTAAACAGGTTTCACACCTGGACAACGGCTCATCGCCCTTAAGCTCTGGAATACAGGCATACTTATCGATGTTTGACACTCGCCTTAATTCTTGACTTGGAAGCGGCTTTCCATCAACTGAGAGGTGTTGTGACGGTGTCAGAGTGCTGAATTAGCGAGTATTGCTGACGAAAGCTCTTAAATCGGATTTACACAGTCGTATAAAGATCTATGGTGTGTCTTGTTTAACTTTTCTATAGATATAATGGCTCATGTGGAATTAAGTACTCTCAACTTACCAGTGCACAAGGAACTTCTAGGACGAAACCTGGTTGACTTGGAGTGCACAAAAAAACTTGTCATGTTTGTCGAGCATTCCGATAAGAATGAACTGTTTAATTGGATATCTGAGTACATTTGACATGGGTTTCGCACCTATCAAATATAAGATATTGCTTCATGACCGATCTGCATTGAGTCCTGGTTTAATGATTGTGGGTGAAGTGGTATAATGCTATGACCACTTCACAATGTTGGCCGAAGTAGGTTCAGACTGGAAAAAGGCTCGAGATGACCAGGCTGAAACATGGAATCAATGTATGAAGTCTTTGACTGTTGGTTTGAGCCGTGTGGGACGATACAGACTAGGTGGTTGGGGTCGACGGGACAAGAGGAACCAGTGTTTGGAGACTCTAGGTGATATGGCTCAGAACCGATGTCAGTGGCGCAGATGTATACACATATTATCGTCATCTTAACGACGTTGTACCGAATCTCACCATTTTCTCATTCTTCATTTCTCTCTCTTCGTACTTTATATTCCTTTCGACTGAGTTTTCTTATCTTCATCTTGCGCTTCACTACCTTTTTACTTGACGTACTGATATGAGGTGTGGCAACTCGGACCGCTACGCAGTAATGCCTGGTCCTATGTTGATGATGACGATGACCACTTCACTTATTTGAGGACCTGTATCTGCGTAAATGAGCTGTTTGTTGACGAGGTCTCAGCTAATATATATAAGATTCTTCTTTATTTCCTTAATCATGTCACCTATGGCGCTGGGGAGGTATCTGACTACCTTTTAAAGAAAGAATATGCTGCACTGTAGCTTGTTCTGTCCTACTATATAGTCTTGAAACATAGCCGTTAAAAGTAAAAATGAAATTTTTACTAGCTTTTGATCATTTATACCTTCGTATCATTGCCTCCAATAGTGAAATCACCGTGTAAGCAATATTTTGGTTATACGTAGATTACTATGCAAGGAAGCCAAGTCATTCGATGAAATTTCGAACCTGCTCCAACTGAGGTGATTTTAGACATATATTACGCATATTGCGTCACCGCCTACCTTGACGTGCGATGTTAGTCGATGTAAGATTGCTTTAAAATATTTCTAAGGGTAACCAGAACAAGACCTAGCACCAGTTCATAGTCTGACTTCCTGGTCAGATGTGTAGGTAGATGTAAACCACTTTACTGGGATCTTCGAAAAGATGTTAATCAATGGTTGCCGATTCTTTACCCTATGCTTCGAAATCTATCACAGTTGAATAGATGTGTACTTTGTTGTCTATTGGTACTTGCAATTTCCCATTGCTTAAACGAAATATGGGCCTTGGATTCCACTGCTAGCCACCTAATAGACTACTAGATATATACTCTCTTCGTCATCTAGATTTTGAACATTTTATTAACCATGTGTTTACGCTCTCTCCCTTTCATAGGTGTTTGTTTACTTTAGTCTCATTGTCACGCAGTAATGCCTAATCCTATGTTGATAGTGATGATGATGAGTTTTTACTGATTTGTTTCTTCTTATTGATTTCGTTTTTCTCTGTCATCGTGTAATGTAACAACTTCGACCACTACGCAGTCATGTTGAACCCTTTAATATCCGCTTTTTCTCCTGGTTTCAGTGCATTCAAAGCATAAACGTATACTTCGCTGCTCAAACTTACTGAGATAATGTGATTTTCATAACCCATACGATTGCAAACCTTGATAGGTTCACACTTATGTTGTTGTATTTACTTTTCTCAGTTTCAGATCAAATAGTCAAGGTAGTCAATTCAGCAAGCAAAAGACGTCTCGGCAAATTAGACACATTTACGGTGTTAGAATATCTATGGTATGTTATTTTAATTCCGACTGAGTTGTATTGCAGCTCAAAACATGTGCCTCCAGTCTCCCTTCTAACTGCATTAATATTCATTGAGAAGCTTGCTGTAACCAATCCGCATTCATCTTTATTGACCGAAGTGACAGCATTTGATCTTTTTGCGGTATCTATGGTTTGTATAATGAAATATAAATGTCTGATAATTTTCCAAGGTGGTTGCATCAAAATATTTACATGATGATGATACAGACTATGGAATGTACAATGCAGAATGGGCAAACGAATTTGATATGGATCTTAAGGAATTAAATGATCTTGAAATCAAATTCCTTTCTGCGCTTAATTGGGAGTTTTTTGTAACAAAAGCACAAATACTCAAGTTTGGTTTTGAAATAGGTGTTTTCAGTCAGACTACACTGTACAGCGCATCTAGTGACAAATCCGATTTCACAATCCCTCTACTTTCGCGTATTACTCGTACTTTATTTACGTGTATGAGTTATTTTACTTATCACAAAATCCGGATTGTGAGTAAAGTAAGCTACTTTAAATAACGACTTCAGTTGTGAAAATCATTGGATTACTTTTTTAATGTGCATATGAAGCTTATAAAAGTTTGCAATTTACAAATTTCTAAGATTATCACAAATACAATCATCTCGTTTTAGACTTCATGAATAACGACGCAAGGAAGCTAGTTATATCCTCTAGTACTGGTATGCACTAACAAGACTTGTGTGTAGTGAACAAATATATCTACTTCGTGGACACCAGAAACTTTTTTATATTTTTTTCCTTCGGTAAATTACCTTGACTGTCAACATAAAACTTAAGATATCGAAAGCATTATATTGAATCCATATTTCAGTAGCTTTGCTTTGGCTGGCCCAAAATGCGTGTTTCGCCCACATGTGATTATTGGTAGATACCTAACGTATCCAGATAGGTTTGTTACCTAGAGAATGATTGCTGAAGGTAGTTATGTTTCTTCACAATTAGGAACAAATCCACTTATAATAAATTGATTTATTTAGAAATTGTGTCCAAGTTGCCACACCTCATTGGCAAATCAAAATACAAGGCAGCAAGATGAAAGACAAAGAAATAAGGAACAAAATATAACCAAAATTTGTAGGTAGGTTTCATAGAACGAATGGCGAAATGCAATGTGACGATTGTAATGATCATATGTGGGTGCATTCGCACTATTGAGATTGATTTTGATTCACACCACCTAGTGTCCGAAGTCTGTTGTCACGCAGACCCCGGCTGGCATATTTTCATCTTCCTAGATGATTCACATCAACAATCAAACTTGCTGGATTAGTGCCGTGTTTTGGTCTGGTCGCCTATAACCTTTTCCAAGCCTGGACCCACTTCAACCAATTCTGCGCGACGAGGTAGACTATAACTAGGCATGCGAACACATATTTCAGCCACCTAAGTCGATGAAGGTTTACAACCTCACCAACTGACCAGCACTACCCAAGACTACATTGCTGACGTTATGGTCCTACAAAGTGGCCAATGCTGTGAAGGGAATGGTGATCAAACATGTGAAATCTCACGATCCCGACCTTTATTTTCTGTGTTTTAACTATATGGCAGAACAAACTCCTGTACAGCACAGTCAACACTTCGTAGGCAGTCAGATATTTTGCCGGCACCATAAATGGTGTAAGTTAGCGAAAGACAATCTAGCCTTTTGTATCTGCTCAGAGATTTTGTCGGTCACTGATTACCAATCTCCGTATATCAAAAGGATGACAATTAGTAAAATTACAGCGGTAACTGAAAGGGAGGATTGTTATGGTGAGAGTTGAAATAGGCTGTTACCTAGTTTTTGTAATACTGATTAACATTAAGAGAAAGTAAGAGATTATGGTTAGTTGTCAGTTGTGTACAATGATTGCGCAAGATTAACTGGAGACAAAGAGGAAAGAATACGATGCCTAAAAGTGTGGTAACAGTAGTGGTCTGTTAAATGAGTAGGGGAATAAATCACGCGTTCAGGGATGATCGGGGGGGAAAAAATCTATTCGAATTCCGTCTGAATACATGTTCACTTTGTTCCAGTGTTCTGCTGCTTTTAAGAGAGACTAATAAGGCATTAGTGATATTAAAATGGATGTGACAAACAACTTCCTAGGCGTTATTAATATCGATTCGGTGTACAGCACGAGCTAGTTATGAGAGTACAGAGCTCCCTATCTATCTTGTTCGTCTCTTGTGTAACCATGATGAATAATATTTGGAAGCCTAGCCATTATGCAAATTATCAACTAAGTAAAAACCTTTTTCAACTTTTACAAATTCACTGTAATTGTTCTATTCCTTGATCACTGGCGGGATTTCCTGGATTAACTATTCCATTAAGATTAGCAACATCTTATTAACTAACTTCTTACCTCTAGATTGGTATGTTATTTATTTTATGAATGCTATATGTTAGCGTAGAATCTCTGATCAGAAGATAGTTGAAAAGAAATATTTCTTCGCTTGAAATGTTTTAGAAACGTCTAAATAAGAAGTTTAGTATACTGTTAGTCAACCAAGCACCCTCTATGCAGTAAGTCCAAGTTGATATTCATTATAGACTGACATCGATGGATAAGTAAGTCCCTCGAAGGTCCAATGTGTTTAGGGCTATATACACCACTGCATCTATCAATCAATATCAGGCATTACTACACAACGGTCCAAGTTGCCACAAATCGTATCAACACAACAAGTAACAAAGCAATGAAATGAAAGATGAAGAAAAAGAGGAAAATCGGTCAAGAGCAGTAAAAGAGAGGGAGGAGGAATGAAAAATTGCTAAGTTCATTATAGTGTTCAAGATGAAGATAAAGTGTGGATACATCTGCGCCACTGACATCGATTCTAAGCCATATCACATAGTCGCCAACTACTGGTTCCTGTTGTCATATGGACCCAAACCGGCTAGCCTGCATCGCCTCACATGGTTCAAAACAACAGTCAAGAACTTCATGCAGTGATACCATGTTTTAGCCTGGTTGCCCCGAGCCTTTTTCCAACTTAAACCTACTTCAGCCAACATTGTGCGACAAGGCAGACGGTGACTAGCACTACATCCATAACGAGAGCAAATAAGAACCTCGACAGTGGCTACCCTTTGCAAGCACCACTAATTGTTATTGTCTCATGTGTGAACTCTCCGTGAACCCTCACACGATTGCTTAAGTTGAAATGGAGACTTGACTAGCTGTACTATGAACCGTAAAATCGTAGGTGATATATTTTGTTATTATGAGGGTATTTCTCTTTATGTATAGTCAGCTGCATAAATCACACATAATTAAGAAGGATAAATTAACGCCTAATCTTCATCTGCGCCATAAACATATATCGAATGCTACGCTCACAGTGTGATCATCATATGAAATTTTGCCTTGTCTACTTGTTCGTAATGCTTGCCTTTTTAATACTAATTTCAGCCTTAACTGCTTCATTTTCAGGTTGTATTCATCCTGGCTGTGGCGTATATGGGAATGAACAAATATCCTCAGTGTTCTTTTGAAGACAAATGTCCAGATCCCAACCAAACAAGGTTTTCATCATTAGTAGTAAATGAATGTCCAAGTAACAAGTCATCAAATGGGACACAACTCAGCATACCGATAGACGTAAACCGATATGATGTGCAAAACATATTCTCTTTGAACCTTAATAGCAGATTTCATGGTCGATGTGCATCTTACCTGTGTGAAAAGGAGACGGATCTAGATCTACTGATAACTTGTCCAACTTAAGATTTTCCCTTCATCATAAAAGCGTAGATATTTATATTTGCTAAGTTTCACTATTTTTCACTTTAACGTATTCACGCACCCTAAGATTCTTATTTGTATTTATGTTGACATTATTTTAATATTAATCGTTGTATATAAACGTACAGAAGCAACGTTTGTCTCATATTTCATCTTCGCTCGTGATATTATAATCCCTTTCGACGAATTTCAGCCGCCAGCGTGAAGATCAACAGTCGTGTAGACAAAAACTGTGATTTAAATATTAGCAATTTGATTAAATATATAAAATTAGAAGGTTAATAACTTTAACTTCGTGATGTCCACCTCTCATTTCCTGCAGCGACCCAAACGCTGTTAGAGGAAGTAACCAATAACCCTCTTGATACAAACAATTATATTGTAAATTTGTAATATCTTTCTGTTGAGTTCATTTGCTTAATATTGTTTATAGAGTTTAAAAGCAACCCCACAGCATTACTAAATGCTGTTATATGACCAGAACACAGTATTTAAAAGCGAGCGTCAACTTGCTGAATAGTGTCATATATTTCCAGAAATATTTGACTAATCAGTAAATTCCCCTTTACTAGAAAAATGTTGAATAGATCAGTGAGCTCTCTGTACACGGCCAGAACTCTCGCTCTTCAGACTTAATTTCTTGTACGTAGACATCCAGATGTCAGTCGAAAAGTTACAGTGGAGCCAATCTTGGTACAGAAAAAAACTCAAAAAGTGCTAACACTACCAGAAAGTTCACATTCCAAGTCTAAAATATTCAGCACCAAGATTTCCTAGTAAACACCACTCAGTTCAGCTTTCTTTTTGGGCTTGCAGTATGACTTATGTTCAAGAAAGATAAGAGGTACAATAATACATGTTTTCCGCAAATGAAATCTGTCAGCATGAAACACGAAGTTGTTTAAAAGGTGATATTTTTTATGAAGACTAAATCCATACTTGTATCCGATAATATAGTTTAGGATAATGTCATTGATAGCTCACTTATGTCCAAAATTCAAACCTGTTTGTTCGGTCCAGATTTGCTGGCGTCGAATGGTTTGTATATGTGCTTATTTTGCAGACTTTCTGTAGGTGACAATCAGTTATCGTGCGAATGCGATACGTTGGAATACTATTGTGCCACCAAGATGTGGTCACTGCAATCTGTTCATAGTCGTACAAATGACAGTCGCATCTACGCGATATTTTTAATTCCCCACATGTCAGTTAGTCATAGCCAAGTGAGACTCTCTCATTGGTCTGAGCACTCGAACTCCAACCCCGGGTAATGGGTTCCAATCCCGCCCCGCCTACCGATGCCTGGGAACCCAGGTAGTACCATAAGCCCCTCACACAATAGGTGTGACTCAATGCCAACGGCACGAACGTGCACGTGATTGCCGAATACATTTCAACTTTCGAGCCCTAAATGGGCAGTATTTGGTACTTATTTAAGCTAACTAAAAAGACTGACCAATAGGTGAGTGAAGAGAAAGAAGGATCACTGATTAACTTTAAGGATTGGTGGATGTCGAGCTGGGTCAGTTAGACTGGTTGACAGCTATATTTGGTTGCGCAGCACTAAACTTCGATCTTAGTTGTTCAGTGACAATTATTAACAATAGTAGAACGATATTTAAAATCAGACATAGAATCTGTCATCTGGTTTCCATTAGTATTTTGCAACAGTTTAAAATAAGCGGTTAAGTAGGCCTGATTTTATAAACCAACTATTTACTTCAAACTGGCCGCGACTCTTGGTTTGCACAGATTATAAAGGATAACACTTTCATGGTAACTTTACTCATATATTTCGTCTAATACTAGTGTCGTTTGACGCTTGGGAAAGAGAAATTCGAAGAACAAGTGAGATCTCACGTCTGAATGAGATTGTACTCGTCAGCTTCTGGAACACTAGCACCTACTGACTAAAAGTGGAATGTATTAGTACACAGTACGTTCCTTTTCTGAGTTTCGTCTTCCTTTCAGGATTATTTTTCGCGTTATATAAGCTTTTTTAAGACACATTGCAATCGGTTTCGATTAAATTTATGAAGCTAAACAGCTTTTAAAAATGATACCACTTAGAGGCAGTCTTCTCGCTGCTTTTATTGTTTGATTTACCTGGATATTCCCTAATTAGTTTTGGGTGTATAAACAGTTTATTCAGGCATAGGTAATGACAAGGTCCCAGGTTTTCTAAACGCATTGAGTCAGTTTTTTGGCAGGCTATTTACATGTCGAGTTAGGTCTAGTCGGTACCAGATGTAACTTAAGAATAGGAAATAAAGTGATTTACGTCGACAACATACTTCAAGTACTATGTTGGCTACCAGTCTGAGGTTTTCAAGTGGTAGGATTCAGTAGTTAGAAACCTAGGTGACTGTTCAAACTCAATCATAACGGCGCAAATGTATTTCCTCTTTTTCATCACAGTCAGAATTCATTTGTTTTGCTCTTACTGCTTCATCTTTCTTCTGTCCGTTATACCTTAGAACAGTTCATAAGTTTTTTCTATATATCAGACACACTGTTGAACATGGATTATCAGTTCAGGGGGTCAGCTTTCAATTAGTGAGTTACAAGTTTGAAGACTTGATTATTTATAATTCCAGGGACCAATTTAGCTTCACTAGCCTTCAACGCAGTATATGTACTTGCACAAGGCTTTTGAGGTGCAGCACACACACGATCAGTTAGAGCAATAGAATTACAATATGAACCTAAGGATAGGAAAATCATCACCATCGTTCGACAGAATTAAAACAAGGGGAGATGAAAATACTTGTAATTGATGTTGTCACAGTAATATCGTTAATGTGAAATAATCACAAGTCTTTACAACACAGCACAAACAAAAGGTGAGTAAATCTTCGGCACCAATGTATGGTCAGTTATCACAGTAATTGCGACTAGTGAACTACCATTGCTTGCATGTTGTTCCGTATTTGTCTCTCTTTCTCTTGGCGAAAATTCAGCTGATTCGCCTTGCGAATCTTTCGTCGCAGCTGGCGGTGTTGTTTAATGGCGCCCCTACGTAGCCGCTTGTCTTCAGTAGATTCTCCCTTCTTCCTCACAAGTAATTCAGGATCTAGTGGTTTTGACAGTTCCAGAACACTCGCGTTATCTTCCGAATTGTCTTTTAAAACTGATTTCTTTTTATTTTTGTTGGTGTTTGGCATAGGTAAGTGGTTGTACTTTACTGCATTTGGTTTGGGCTCATCTGTAAGAAAGCGAATGATCAAAAATCCAATGTTTAAACGGAGAAGCAGTTGTTTGTGGAATTCGAAAACTGAACTAATTAGGATGTCCATCCAAGTGAAGTAAACAGTTTTGGCGGACTCCTACGCCTACGGGCTGTAGGTAAACTAACTGAAAACACTCAACATGTCATCACAAAGGGAGGACGTAATCTGCGTCACCGAAAGACTCGGGATCAGATGTAAATCCATAAATAACAGCTGATTCTTCCTGAGCTGCTAAAAGCTGGCAAAATGAAAAATGCTGCCCGTGGTTGACTATTTAATGCGGTCAATGAAAGATCTGGAGGTACTGAGTTCTATCACGAAGGGCTACACAGTTTTCCACGGCTTGGAAGCTACAAACAAATGAAACAGTCATCCCAAACTTAAATTTAGGTGATTTTCCAACTTACGCCGTTTCGTAACATTGTCAGTTACGCAACAACACACCACCGCCCACTTAAAAGTACACGTAACATGCAAAGCGCGGCCACTGCTTCGGAATGCATGTGTTTATCAAAACCAGTTTCTTATGATAAATTCGAACGGCTAAAATCGCAAAGATAAATGCTCGGTTTCGTCACACGGTGCCGTATATAAACACTAATGGAGAATTTCGTGAAAATAATTCAATAGTGATCACTCATATGTAAATAAACATAGCAAAGACAAAATCGCCATGAGACTTGGCATTACTGCCAATTGATAAGTTTTAAGATCTAAGGATGACAGAAAATTCGTTGAAAATTGTCCATATCACGAATGAAAAATACTTAGACTATCTACATACGCCGTCGTGAATAGCGACTAGACGTTCAATACTAGTTTAAGCTTCAGGGACAATAAGTCGAGTGCAATTGCTTCATTCTCCTCAGAACTAATCACTTGGTCACACTACGTTATATTGTGCCAATTTTCGCCCATCAAATTTAACATCACTCCATCTCTCCGTACAATCAAATAAATACTCCTACATGAGAAGTCTGCTGCTCTGACAACTAACTCTAGAACATTATGCGTCCAGAAGACGTCTCACTTTTCCTACCCAAGACACAAGTTGCAAAAGTGAGAAAGGGGCTGTGGAAGCTCTAAAAGGTTACCGATGGCACCATAACTTTGTGAAGCAACTGAGTAGTTGGGAGGAGATGAACTAGTCACTTTTGGAAAACGCTTTACTACGGTTACACCCCCGTTCAATCACGCACACGTTTTCGGACAGGTAGGAAGAGACAGAAAACTAAGCATTACTCTATAACGGTCCAAGTTTCCAACCTCCATATCATCATTCCGAGGTGACCAGCAAGAGGAGACTAACTGAAGTGAAATAACAAAATTAGCAACAGTGCGAAGTTACACAAAGAAAGGAAATAAAGAGAACAGCGACATGATATAACACAGACGAAAATAACGCATGAATGCACCTCCACCAACGTGTTTTATTTTAAATGAGACCACAGCCTTGGTTGTTCTCTGAAATTTAATCAGGAAGCCGATATTTCTTGATATGACTAAGATTGACAGCCAGAGACTTCACTGGTTGGTCTCACCTGTCGGTCTAGACAAGTTTTTTTCATAACATGATGCAACTCCAGCTGACAATACCCTCTAGATAGACGATGGATTGACATGCTTACCGAGGTTTAGCAAGTTCAGTTGATGAAGGTTCTACAACCTCATAAACTTGCTTTCCTCCATTACCTACTACATTACATTTATAAATTTAACCGCATTTCTTGCAGTGACTCTAGTTGCTTTCGTAAGTACTGCGGCAAAACAAACCTTACGTTATGGTAAGAAAAGAAAAAAAACATCCAGCTACACAAAAATAACCTGGAAAAAAGTACATCAGTTACCGTTGAAACATTTTACGGCAGAAAGAGAAGTGAGTCGAAGATACAATGACACTAAAGTGGACGAGTGTATGACAGGAGAAAGAATAAATTGACGGCTAATGAGAATGTCCAAATCTAGAAGACAACAAAGGTTGTATGACTTCGCACAACTGTGGTCGATTTTAACGTATATGGTCAAGAACCTTCAACCATTTATTCTTATCGTTCTGAGGACCCCAGAAAAATAGTCGACATCCATCCATACAAATCAAACTAAAAGTCACAATCTAGGATTGGTGTAGTGTTTTGGTCAGGTCACCTTAGAGTTATTCGAACCTAGTCCCAGTTCTGCTAACATAGCATATCGAGATAAGTGATGGCTCGGCATGTGCAACACATATCCAGTCAGAGCAAGTTCGCTACTTCATTGACTAACTTATCTTCCTTACCTAATATCCTGAGCTTAACCTCAATATTGGTTACACAGCGATTCCACCACATGCCAGCAAAGCAACGAAGAAATCTAGTCACAAATTTGCGCTCTCCACAGGCCTTCAACTTTTAACGCGTCTCAGACGTACAATAGGACAGCGAACTGCTGCGCAGTATGCTCGTCCTTTGACCATAACGTCTCAAGTTGCCGAACCTTATGTCGGTTATATCAATGCGATAATACACTAGGATGAAAGACAAGGAAATAAAGAAGAATCGGTCAAAGGCACTAGAAAGTAGTAAAAGAGAGGAATAAGGAAATGCTGAATTCAGTATGGTAATTAAGATGATGTGTGGGTAAATCTGTGCCATTGAGACCGATTCTGGTTCATGTCACCTGGAATCTCCAACTACTGGTTTCTGTTGTCGCATGGAAGCCGACCGGGAAGTCTACATTCCCCTACACGGTTCAGACCAACAGTCAAAAACTTAGTGCGCGGATACCACATTTTAGTCTGACCACCTCTAACATTTCTTCAGCATGAATCTACTTCAGCTATAATTGTGCAGTGAGACAAACAGTGACTAAGCAGACGTAACACATTTCCCAGCCAACTCAGTTGATAAAGATGCGCAATCTCATCAACTGACTTTCCCGTTCCCAATAATACTACACACCTGACTTCGCCATCACGGACGTGATGACACCACAACGTACGGCCCATACTACGAAGGCAACGGTAGTAGGATAACAGAAGCCTTCTTATATCCACTACTTTCAATGATCATGTTTCACAGTCATATGGTAGAACCGGCATCGCAGTACAATCGAGCCTTTTGTATCTGTGAGGAGAGTTCGTCGGTCAATGACCCACCAGGGCAGACTCAACTTTCCACGTAAGTGAAGTGGTAAACGTGCCTAACCATTTCACTATCTATCCCTCGACGAGGCACCAACGCACACTAGTCCTGGAGCAACAATTTGCATTTAGACGGTGAGAAACCCATCCTCAAATCGCCACTTAAGGTGTCCAGAAGACACTGTATCTTGTCGGCGTCTTTATCAAACATGACGTCTCCTGAGACGATCAATCCGAATGAAGTTATAAGAAGAGAATGGAGACCTACGTAAGCATGTTAAATACAAAGTTAAGAATGAAGAGAGTGGATACACTTTATGGACACGACTAGTGTAAACTGAAAACTCGTCATAGATTGTAACAGCTTCAGGGGTGTTTGAATACGGAGCCTTCAATAGAGTGATGTACTTGCCATGAGAGACACCGCCATCGAACCTTCTGTCCAATGGAGTCGAATGCCCCTTCAAGTTAGGAAATACGGCTAGTGTCGGGCGTCGATAAGTCTCTATGTTTTCTAGAACCTGGCAGAGAGTGAATATCTCTTCGATACATAATCACCATCATCAAAACCAACATGCGATAAGGCATTACTGTCTTCACCGTTGAGTTGAACTCGGTGGACGCCACGTCAGACGATGTCTCTTCCTGTCTGAAGTTTGTAGTAGCTAGAAATAAACAGTTATCTGATCACAGTTGTAGTAGGTGATCACCATTCTCTGTCCGTTCAGCCGGCGTTCTGAAAGTCCCACCTAAGTTATTTTCTGTCTGGCTCAGACTACCCACTTCTGCATTGAAATCACCTATAGCAACAACCACGTCTGAAAGTTTGGCTTTCAGAAGACAGTTTTCGGCAGAACTCATGCTTCACTTCACCCGAACTGCATTCAGGGGGTGCGTAAGCAGAAACTACAAAGAGAAAACGGTGAGTCCCAGTGTTCCCTTTAGTTTATGCTGTACCGTTCAGCCGGACCGCGCATAGGTGAGTGTCAACTGGGATCCAGTCAGCCTAGTAATGAGGTCTCTGCTCTAGTGCCGAATGCTGACTACACCTGTGAGACCGCGAGAAGTAGCCGTCGAATCTCTAGAAACTCGAAGGGTGAATTTCGCGGATCCACCATATTGGCCGGGAGAAGTTAAGTGAATACCTGCATCCGGGTCTTGTAGGCGTGTCTCACAAACACAGCACACATCCATGACCCGAGTTTCTAGAGTTTTGGGCCACTTGACGGAGGGTGCGGACATTGAAAGCTCTAATGTGTAATTTAGAGATTGGTTCGAAGAGACCAGTGGTGCTGTTCTGAGGACTCAGATTGTTGTCGAAAGCTACAGTGCTAGAAAATGATGTAGGATTGTTAACTGAGAGACGTCAAGGAAGATTAGAAGGTAAAGATGAGGGAGGTGGATATTGGTCTGAGGGGACTTAAGCGCTGACAGAGTTGTGAGGGCATTTGACACTTGCCGGCTACCCATACTATGGAAGGTCAGGTCTTCTTGAGGTACGTGAAAAAGAAGGGTTAGTGCGTGACTGCACCTACTTGAGGTCGACCACGTATGGCCCTTTCGATGCTACGAAAATTGGCCTGTATTACGGAAAACGTAGTCGCGCAAAACATTCTGTGGTTTTGGATCACAACTGATGACTGATCTCAGCCAACATAATTCATTATCTCTTTGTTTAATAACATGATAAGAGCCAGTTCTTTTTGTCTAACCACTATCGAACAGACCTTTCTGGTATGGTAGGACTTCGAGGGAACAAGCGTTAACCAGCACAGCTCGTTGGGCCAACGTGATATACAAGCCTGACCACCACGTCAAGGTAGCAGCTATCGGTAGATACACCAACGGCCAGATCGGAAAACTGCTTGGTATTCTCGGGTTTACTCTTCCCGTATATATGTAAATAATGGCGAATGTCATCAACTGACTGTGAAAACCTCCGTAAGGTATGAGTGTTCCCATTCATGACTAACTTGCTGAGTTCCTAAATCAGTCAAGCAAAAGCCCATGGCACGACACTTAATAGCAGAATTAAATGGGATGAAAACAAAATATTTTCTAAAGAGTGTAGACAGGCATAAGCTACACAGGAAATGTAACTGAACACCAGGTTCAAGCCATTAAATTTAACATCAACACATTCAGCGAAAGATCAATGAGACAAACGAATAATACCTGCACTCTTAAAAAAAAATAGAAAAACTTAACTTAAAGATTAAGTGAAGATAAGACGTATATGTCTCTATGCACAAGTGATTGTCCTGAAACATACCACGTAAAGATTACAACCAGACTAATACAGACCCCATGGATTGATGCTGTATCTCAAGTGTTTTCAGTACTTAACATTACCTATGCGAAAATCGTGTGGAACCCATCTCAGTCTTCTAATTAATAAAGCATAACAGTATCCTAAACTGACTTCTCTTGTTTACCTAGTATTACATTTCTAATCTCAGCATCGCTTACTTTGTGATTCTACTACATATGAGAAATAAGGTGGAAAAATCTTTAACCAGAAACCTTTAATCTTATGTATTTAACACAATCATAAAGTAGGCTGTTGTGCACTACGCTTATTCTTTGAAAAGCAGTCAGATGTCCTGTTGGCAACAGAGGTGGCGTATGACGTGTAAACTTTGAACTAATATCAGAGTGAACCACTAGCAAAATCGTGACAAAATATCGAATGACTAGACTAAATCCAATTTAATATATCATATAACAATGATAGCTTCCTGAATGTGAACAACACTAACCCAGTGTTTCCCGTTTGTTAGTTGCTTTGTTGTCTTGTCTTTAGCTTCTTTTACGAATTCATAATGTTATATTAATGAGACATATGCCTTGGTTACCACGATATATTAGGTTTGTGCCAAAATAACCACTTAAATTAACTCTAATTTAGCTAAGTTCAATGGATACCCCTTCACACACACACACACTACTGAGGATATTTTCCGAAATTGAAGAGTTTTTAACTTTATGCCTAAATACAGTAAACAGATATAAACTAATATACTTACCATTGAAACCCGTAACTTTTATATTTCTAACACTATATGTGCAATCGCTTTCATCATCGTCCTGTAGCTCTTCTTCATTCAAATCATAGCACTTCTTGATTGTTATGCTCTTTAATTCATCGTCTAGTTCCTCATCATCTTGTCTCGCTCCCCTTCAAATGGAGGAAATGTGGATTTTATAGGATAATTAAACATGCTGACCCCGTGTAACGGGTTAAAATAAAAGCAAATGCAGTCAAGTGAATTGAGGAATTATAGAGTAGTAGAGTTGTAGTGTAATAGTTTAAGCAGTTGATTGTCAATCATTTTGGCCCACATAACCCGGTATAAACCCTGACAAAAGATGGTTTATGTTGTGAAATACGAACACATACGATACTGCATATATTGTATTATTGGTTAGTGACTCTCAAAGTAAAAACTAAGTGGATTCAAAGCTTTTTTAACTGACAAGAAGTGATTTTTTCGGTAAGTGCACAACTATAGGAAATATTCCTACTTTATGTGATAATACGCCGAAACCTTACTACCCACGAATCTGAAAATCTAATTGGGAAATATAGCATACTGTTTTTTTACATAGGTGCCAAAGCACCAACTTAGTTGCTGTCTAATAACGCCAATAGCTAAAGCAATAAAGGTATGGTTGAATGTTCACAAAAGCATTTTCTTACTGCAGATCCAAAGATCCTTCTCCAACACATTAACGTCTGATTTCTATCTTAACATATCAACTTACTGTTTTGCGATTGCAATATCACGACTAAGTGCATATTTTAAGCCTTCACTCATTACCGATGTTCCAGAAACAAAAGATTGCCCACAGCTTGACCTAGATTTGTATCGTAAAATGAGCTGGAAATGAATTATGAACAATTCATAAGTTACTTTCTCAAACTCCCTATTCAGAATGGTTGCATCATCTGGATAATCACCTTTAGATGAATTGTCAACGACGTCGGAACATGAGATGTCGGTGGAACTTTCATTGGTACCATACAAGAAACGTTCCATGAGTGAAACTTTGTCTTTTGAGAGTCTTGAGATATCTGTTTCAGCTGGTTTCTCGTTAACAAAGTGCCTAGTCATAGCTGCTTTCGGATCTTCATCATCAGTTTCCGACGTTTTTACCGTATGTCCACCTGCGAGTTCTACGAAATTATCTTCTATTTCACTTTCGTCATCGAAGGACTCAGCTTCGGACTCCATGTTGAGATCGCTAAAAACATGTTCATCGTAATCAACTTCTGGTTCTCGTACTTCCGATGAGTCAGACTGACTGCAGGTAGTACTTTTGCAATCTTCAGGTATAACTGATATAGCCTGAAAACACAATGGGAAAGATGAATGGAAGAATTTATAACACAAAACGAGTCAAGTCTCGAATGTCTGCAAGTAAACGTCAAGTCGAAGAAATCCCTTAGAATCCAGAAACTGAAAATGTTTTGGATCTTCAAACTAGCCATCACCTAGAAATTGTGTCTGCAATTCAGCGTCAAGCCGTATGATACCTTTTAATCACTTTTCCAACTAGATAGTTAAATGGCTACCTAACTGAACTGCAGATAATTATTATTATCTATGATCTACTCCCTAGACTCTAGAAAACCCAATAGTCATTTGCTAAACGGGTTTATCGACCAAACTAATCAAGTGACACTCACACAAAACGCCATTATTTGCTAAGTCTCTCAATATCACTAAAAGTCATGAAAATACCATAGCAAAAGAGATGATACGCATAAAATAGTTTCGATGATAAAACAGTGGAATCTGGACAGGATAGCATTTCACAGTTCCATATTAGTTTGTCTTCTTAGTAATACTGTCAGGAGATTAGTGTTGGAAAAACCGGCTGCCAACAATGAATAGTGGGCAACTCTGATCGATTTCCCCAGCCCTGAATCGATATGCAAAACATTTACTGTACTGATCATTATCATCATTAAAATCAACATGGGACCGGGAACCACTGCGTAACGATCCAAATTGTCACACCTCATCAGTACATCAAGTAACAAGGGAATAAAATGAAAGATGACGAAGGAAAGAAAAATCGAACAAAAGAAGTAGAAAGTAGTAAGAGAGAATGGAGGAATCAGAAAATGATGAAACTTAATATAGCGTTAGGATGAGGATAATGTATGTATGCATCTGTGTCACTGATATCGGTCCTAAGCTATATCATCTAGAGTCTTCAAACACTGGTTTTTCTTGTCCTGAGGACCACGACCGAATAGTCTGCATCGCCCTACATGGCTCAAACAAACAGTCAAGGGCTTCATGCATTGATGACGTTAAGCAAGGGGAAAACTGATAAGTTACGTGTTAGTCTCACGATTTGTCATACAATACAGAAAACATATAGATAGGTCAATTTTTCGACTTCTTATATACCACTTTGTTGCCTAGATATATCACGTGGTGAAACATCACCATTTACTGGGCAATATTTAAGAAACATTCCATCACTGTTACGTCGAAACAAAGACAAAACCTAGTTTCAATAGTTCTTTGTATTCTCCTCTTTTGAGGTAGTAGAGCTGTTTCAGACACTCAAGTCTGTAACGACCCATTCTTGACGTATATGACCGTCCATTTTATGAACAAATTTTCGGTTATTAATCTCAACCAGGTTCAAAAGTTGTGGAATTGCTTTTGATATAACTACTACCAACGAAATGTGTTTGAAAAACTATCCACTGAATATCTCACCATTCATAAAACTAACAACCTAAAGGATATTGCAAAGGAAATTGTTTAGTAGTTTCGCCAACTGTTCCAAATCAACGAGAAATAGCAATAAGTTTTCGCGCAAAGTTTAAGCCTTTCGTCATGCATCAACCAAACCTTTTTTTCACAGCAATCCTCTCAATCAGGACGACGATATTGGTTGGCCTTAGGACTTGATTTAGTCGACCAGTAGAAGTACTGTTTTAAAGTGACGAAGCCAGACTACTTAGAAACCTGACCAGGACCGACAATAATTGTCCCATAATTTCGACGAGCATGAAGAAAGATCCAGAGAAAAAGATGACTTGTTTACTGTCAGTTATCATGTTTCTCTGTACAACAGAGCGCTAAATGCAACAGTGTTGCCTTTACATTCCGCAACTACGTAGCCAAACATTATACCAGTGGAACTAGCTAGCCCAGTCCAAATTTCTAAATCAGTGAAACAAGTAAATTAAAAGCCTAATCAAACTATTGAGTCTAATGGTTTCGCTTTTCCAAAGTTAGTACAACGGTAAGAAGCAAAGTGGTTTGTCCCATCAACCCCATACTAATTTGAGTTGTATGAATTGGTGGGGTAATAGCCAGAAGAATTACGCTTTCGTTAAACTGCTCTAGATTGTCAGTAATCCCAGTATATTAGAGAGCAAGGGGACCTTTCTGTGAGAAATATAGGGGGATCGATTTGACTGTTGTCTAATATCCTATAGTCCATAACCATTTGGTGTATAACTGGAGCTTAAGATTACCAATAGATAAATCCAAAAAGGCTTTCGACCAAGATAGTTACTTCCACAAGAGTTTCACCCCTGAGAAAGTTTTGAAACAAACATACTTTTGGATGTCCAACACTTATCAGTTTCCCTGAACTTTTAGGCAACACGTAACTAATACAATCGACAGGTGTTTTCGCACTATCTAAATGAGACAAGAGAACAGAAAAAGTAAGTCATTTTAATCAAGATTCTATACCTAAACTTGAGAGGATTTGTCAAAGCTCATGGAAAGCTATGACGAAGTTTCTACGACCAGAAGTTTCTAGTGGGACTCCTTACTGCTACTTCTGCTATTAAGACTTGTCATATGTCCTGAAAGAAGCTCTACCTATTTCAAACTTCATAAAGATTGACTTGCTATTTAGACAGTACCTGATCAACTTGAAGCACATATGGTTCTATTGTATTTCGAGAAGGTTGTGAGGATTTTAGAAATATTTTCAAGTTAGTATTCATCGTAGATTGACGATGAATAGTAACTTGAAAGCATATGGTTTTGTTAGATGCTGACAAAACGCACATTTTCTTAAATGCCTTGATCGAAAATGAGCTTGGTGAAACTATAGAGTATGATTAACTCCATCGATGCGCAATTTTAGCCGAAATAGGATTAGGCTTGAAAAAAGTGAAAGGTCTTCAGACCAAGACATGGGGCTAATCTATAAAGTCTGTAAAGGTACACTGCACGGTAGGGTCAACGGTCTCAAAGAAGTTTTCGGAATTAATAGCTGAATGCCATAGGCAACAGGCCTCAAAATCGATCACGGTGACCAAAACTCAACCACTCATATTTAGTGGTTTTTCAAACACGTTAACTTCCATGTTTTTGCTTTTTCATCATATATGCTTTTTGTTTGTGTTACTGTCATTCTTGTCCGTTTACTCTAGTTATGTTGTTGCTAAGTATGACAACTTGAACTAATACGCTTCTGCCTAATGTTCCATATCCGTTTGTTTGCTCGTGTTTTTGGTACCTGCATACTTAGCATTACATACTTTTGACCTATTATTTGCATTATTTTTTACCAATTATTAACCTGTAACGAGTTTACAGCATTCGCTACCACATCTTGCTACTCCTTTATGAAAGGCTAGAATTCGCTGGTACCAAGTACATATGACTATGCAACCTTGCCAAACTGCAAATGACTGATTCAAAAACTGATAAATTATTTTATTGATGTTTACTCTGTCTCTCCATCAATTTCGGAAAAATCAAATTTTCGTCGGTCTCTGATTTCATTCGGCTAGCCCAACTAAGGACTGAGTTCTAAACCCTGAGATATGTATCTACCTGTATACACAATACGCGAAATATCCCGCGTGCACACCAAGACTTAAACTACTTCACAAGTGTTTAGCCCATCCAGGCATTTTTGGGAATGGGTTTGAGTTTTAGTGGGTGAAATCTAACAGCTACTTAAGTAGCACGAAAATTTGTGTGACACAAATATATTGACATAATATTCATGTAATTAATAACACTCACGTAGCCTTCTCTAGTATCAGACGCAGATTTTAGGTGCTGCATGTAGTCATAGTCATCATCAAAAAATATCCCGTAGTTAAAATGGATAGGGACTCCCGGTAAAGGTTGTGACAGTTCCTTCTCAATAGGTTTCAGTTCACACGGTTTTAAATCCTTCTTATTAAACTTTTTCATGTCCTATTCCGGAAATCAGCTAATTATTATATTTATTTATATTGGATCCTAAAAAGTAAAGACAGTAACAATTTTATTAGGAAAAAACTATATACAAGCGATTAGGACTGGCTTTTTTCTTAAATCCCAGCCTTACCAACTAAACAAACCAACGTAGTAAATCTTGGCACGTTAATTTTTATAGTAACGTTCTAATCCTAGTAGGCGCGTTCCATTCCCTTCGACGGATAGTAGTTTCTTTCAAAAACAAAAATATTTTCAGTAGCTGTTTAACTAGCTTGTGTAAACCACTCAATTTCTTCATTCCCACTTCTAAGTCTTGTAGAACGGTTTCAGGTCTTCAGCGAATTCCGATGCAGTTGGTCTAGCCACTTGTCTGCTATAGCTCTGGCATACAGGACAGTTAGTTAAGTTTTGGTTAGTTCGCCTAAGACTGCGTTGCAATTGGGTTTTTCAGATTTTGAGTTGCCAGACAACTGTTTGGACTGGTTGTTAGAGAGGTTTAGGCATATTAAAGAGACAACCTGTGAAGACAAATGTATGTGAGTAAAGACAAAGAAAAGTGAACTGATGCGGCAGTCTACGTACACCCAAGTAAGTTGAGAGGAATGCAAAGGTAAGTAGAACTTGGGTGAGTGAGGCTAGCTCACAGCGAGTGAGAGAGATGAGAAGGACTGGAGTGATTATAGGAGGAAGTAAACTGCCGTAGAGGTAACAGTGTTGGGATAGTCATACAGCAGTTGATTCCTTTGGTCCAGTTCGTATTTCAGCTTGATAAGTCTAAACCCCGGGTCACTACGTGACTTTGTAGCCTTTTCTCGAAACTGCCTCTGCTGGGAATGTAATCCAGTGCCCGCAAACTCGAAGGAAGTAGTGTGAACACACACGAGTTTCTTACCTTTGATGGGCGATTCCTTTAGGACTTCCATGAGGATCACCATAGTGGCCACTCAGCAGTACTTCTGCTCTCGGGTGACTTGGGTTGTTTATCATTCTGTAAGCCATCGTCGAGCCGCCTCTTAACCTTCGGCGACTAATACAGTATAGGCCTACGTCTTTTAGTCTATCCCTGTATGGTTTTTGGTGCGTCTCTACAACACCCTCATGGCTGGCCTCCCAACTTCCTTCAGGAGGCTCGTGCCTCTTTTCGGGTGTGGTGGAGTGAAGACTTTATGGACCTTCAAGTGGGGTTGCGTGTGGGTCTAGAAGAGTCTCAAAAAGAGCTATGGGTGAAGTCACCTAGCTGTTTACGCACGAAGTGTGGTGCACCGCATGCTTTTCAGGTATCTCCTGAGCAACTGGAACCGGTGCCCAGTTTCTCCGTCACCATTAAACCCAGATCTTTCTCTGCTGAGGTATGAGAAATGCGTGAGCCATAGAAAGAGTAGGACACTTTCTCTGAATCAGGAGCGCAGGAAAACATGATCCGGCATTCATAGGATTAAGTGTCTATTCGTTATTTTTCGTCCACTCCTGCAGTGTTTTGAGATCGCTCTGTAGCGCATTCGATTCCATTTTGCTCTCCAAGACTTGACACCCTCAGTGTAGAGGAGAGTTGGAGGGCTGATACGCAGCGGGAGGTCGTTCACAAACAGTAGGAATAACAACGGACCCAGGGCTGTTCCTTGTGATGCACTGGACACTGATGTCCTCCACGTTGGATAGACCCTGTTGACTTTCAGGCATAAGCCCTGTTTTCTAAGCAGCCCTACAGCTGTAATATCACCCGACCGCCATTTATTGTAGTAGGATGGCGTGCAAGACTGTGCCAGACGCTTTGGCGAAATCCAGAGACACCAAGTGGACCGGGACCTTGAGGTCTCAACATGCTGTTCAGTGGCTTCGGGCCGTCAGGATGTTGGAGGCACGGGACCTGCACTTTCGGAGGCCGTAAGATCTGGGGGGGGGGCAGGAAATATCTTACGAAGGGCATAAGCCAGGATGGACCACGCCTGCTACATTATCTATAACAGAGCCATCTATGAGACAAGAGTCATGGGACTGAGGCAATGTACAAGGGTATTTTCATGTCTTAAGCTAATATTAGCTATCTGACGTTTGGATGGAGTGTGAGGCCATTTAAAGAAAACAAGTGTCCAACTTCTTTTAGAAAGTTGTTAAACTGGGGAAAATCTGAAGAGGTGGTTGGTGTAGATACTGTCAGGTCATCAGCATACTCAACAAAGTTAGCTTCAGTTGGCGTTGGCAAGTCATGCAAAGAGGAACAGAAAAGGAAAGAATAAAGAACGGCACCTTGAGGCACAGCAGCTTCAATAAGCAGCGAAGTAGAGCGTTTCCCTCTACACAGTGTACTGTCTTCCCTCAGGAAAATATGAATCGAGGCAGTTTACAATCCAGAACCCAATGTAAGTATTGGAAATCTTCTCCAATAAGATGGGTCTAGGGGCACAGTCAAAGGCAGAAGTATGATAAAAGAACTCAGGCGTAGCATATTTAGCGCCTCTGTCCAGGCTGGCAATAATGTTATGACGCAAAACAACTGTGGCGCCCAAGTGACTCCCTCCGGGTTTGTAGGCAAACTGATTTAGATCTGCGAAAGCCCAGAAGGAAGGTCCAAGTACAGGAAGCAACAGCTTTTTCATTACTTTTGGGAATGGTGAGGTGACCGCGATCGGTCAGAGTTTAACCTTAGCTCCAGAAGATATAGACTTAGGTACCGGAACTATTTTAATTCCTTTTTAGGCGGTTGGCAGGCCGCTTTTAGCGAAAGACCCTTTAAAAACGTTGTGAATGAACGGCATAGAATGTCGGCACATTTCAAGGAAAGAATACCCTGCACATCATCTGGTGCAGGGCATTGCGAAGGTTTTAATGACTTCGAGCATCTGAACACATCTGTTTCATTGAATTTCAAAAAAATGCATTCTATTTTACGTGAAGAACTAGATAAGATATGTATAGCCCGTTTAACGTACATACACTGCAGCAGGTTTCATCTGTCACTTTTCTCTTTCCAGTGAGATCATCAAAAAGTCTCCATAAACTAGAAGGCCCTTTACGTGACTTAATCTTCTGGTTATACATTAAGTTTAAGCGTTTTACTTCAGACTTAATCAGGTAGTTAAGTCGTTTAACACCAGCAAACTTATTCGACTTGTGAAGCTTTTCTTTTTCTCTTTGCGATCTTTCCAAAGGTGGGAAAGAAAGCCCGCTAAACCTTGAGAAAATTATTTCGGCTGGGCAGCAAATATCAACGCAACATTCAAGATGCCGTGTAACAGCATCAGCTGTATCATCCAGGCCATCATTTTCAGATGCTTCCCAATCTGTGTTCTGTAACACGCACCCGAGTTTATGGATGTTGTCATATGTAAAATACCTACGCACCATCTACTTGGGTTGACATTTAAAAAACAACTTTGTGGACTTGGCACATATTTTCGGCAGGATATGTTTGATAAAGCGATCTGAGCCCAGCGGTGGTGCACGCTTCTGAGTTTCATACATTCCTGGATCATTCGTGAAGACCAAGTCCAATGCGGCGTTGAAACGAGTTGGAAAACTCACTAGGTTGCCGTGACGAGGCGAATACAGGAAGCCGTAATCACAAGAGTCAAAAACCCAGCAAACAAGAGACAATGAACCAGGTGTTGTCACAGTGGCAAATTCCAGGAATTTGTCGGGGAACCCGGATAATTCAGAGAACCTGCAACCAGGAGTGACGTTTACATTTGCGATGTAAATGAATTCATAGGTATCCAAGTGTTTCGGACGGCAATTAACGGTCATACGGTCTACATAGTTATTAGAATAGGCGTAACATATTATTCGAACGTCAATGAATATTAATAAATGTAGCCACACCGCCCACCACCATAAATTTTCGCTGAACTACACCGATCCTGGAGAAACAACTTGAAACCATTCAAAGAAACTAGGCTTTCACCACATGGGTCATGTAACTAGGTTTCTTGTGATGTTATTAATCAATCATTACGATAAATATCAGAATATAGAAGGCACTGTAAGTAGCCTAACTTACCCAGTAAGGATCCACAGTTCCAGATGAGTATTTCAGGTAGTGTCATTTGCTGCAGTTTGGTTGGCCTTGGAGCGTGCTGCCACCCACCATGAAGTCTTTTCGTAGTCACATTTTTTAAAATTATGGAAGTAGGTCGACGACTTTTTAGAAGTTCACATTAATACCTGATACGATTCAAGGTCGCATTTGGTGACCCAAGGTTTGAGCAGGCTGTCGTATCTAGAATATTCATTCTTTCTGTAGAATTATGAAGGGAGTGCACTGTAAATACACTCAGCTGGATCTAACATGCACCATGAATAAGGATGGTGGCATTTCCCGGCAGCATCTAGTATTATAGCGCAGACTTGGGAAACCAATATTTTTCGATATAGTTCTGGGGTTTTGGTTCCTGCTCTTTGGTTTGCTCTTGTAGTAGACAAAAAAATCTCCTCTGCTTCCCTGCTTTTAGCCCCGCGAGGTAGTTTTTGTAGTTTGGAAACTGCAAATTACAGATGGAGTCGATTAGCGAAGACTGGGGGCCTTATGTGACCCCTGTCTGTGTGTGTCCCCGAACAGTAATGCAAGGAGCAAGAAAAGTTCTTCGGGACTTCGCCTGCGGTGAAATTGGATGGTATGTCTCCAGTTATAAGAGGGCGGCAAAAGGAGGGAAAGGCGAAAAAATATTGATCGGAAGCTGCTGGCGAACGTCACTAACGGGGCCGGCCCAGGATTTCTCCCTGGGATACCTTCAATCTTGGTGGTCTCCCCCTGGCTGCCCTTTCTAAAATTACGGCGCCCCGGTCACTCAACAAGATGGTGGCACGCTTACGACCACTGTGAAAGTCATGCTGGGCTGCGTGGGTAGTGTTTTTCCCGTTGACGATTCCCAAAACTTCCTCCGCCATATGGCTTTCAAATGCTATTGGCAAAATAGGAGGCTGAGCTGTTAGTCTGTAGCTACCGGGACCTCTTTATCTCCCCCTGGAAACAAGTGACGAGATCTCACACTTCCGTTTTTAGGGAGACTGTATGACCACCAAGTGCTTGAAGAGATTGCATATTGGCCCAGTGATTACTAAACTCAGGTCACCGTAGCCAAAGGACTTGTCTAGGCAGCCTCACCGACGCTTCTGTGCTATGGGGACGGGGGGGGGAAGGCACCCCTTACTTGTGGTCAGATAGGAGTCGTTTCACACTGGTGCAGATTCGGGGTCAAGAGTGCTCAGTTACACTTT